GTAGGGGGTGTGCAGGAGGCAGCTGATCGATGTGTCTCTCTCATCGATGTTTCTAGCTCTCTATCCCTCTCCCTTCCTCTCTGTAAAAAAAACCAATAAAATATATATATATTTATTTATATATATATTTTTTAAATATATTTTATTGACTTTTTACAGACAGGAAGGGAGAGAGATAGAGAGTTAGAAACATCGATGAGAGAGAAACATTGATCAGCTGCCTCCTGCACATCCCCTACTGGGGATGTGTCCACAACCCTGGTACATGCCCTTGACCGGAATCGAACCTGGGACCCTTCAGTCCGCAGGCCGACGCTCTATCCACTGAGCCAAACCGGTTTCGGCATTTTTAAAAAAAATAACAGGTGCCTTTGACACTTAATTTACTCCAATCAAAATAAATATAGTTTTCAGTTTATCTGCATAACAAAGACAAAACAGTAATAATGATCTATAAAGAAGCTGAACACTATTAAAAAGACATTTCCCCCATAAAAACCTGAAAAAAACAATTGTTAAAGTTTTTTTTTAAGGTAATGCTGCCCGGCTGGTGATGCTCAGTGGTTGGGCATCCCAGGAGGTAATGGTTCAATTCCTGATCAGGGCACATGCATGGGTTGTGTGCTCAATTCCTGGTAAGGGCCGTATAGAAGGCAGCCGATTAATGATTCTCTATCATCATTGGTGTTTCTCTCTCTCCCAGACTCCCTTCCTCACTCTAAAATCAATTTAAAAAAAACCCAAACACTTCAGTTTAGAAAAGTAAAAATTAAAAAGGCAATGCTTTAAATTATTTCAATACTAGTGCATGAATTTGTACACCAGTGGGGTCCAGCCAGCCCAGTGCCAATTGGGGCAGATCAGGGCTAGGGCTGTCGGGGAGAGGAAGAGATGACAGGAGGTTGGCCGGCCTGCCTGCCCCGATCTGGGCTTGATCAGGGCCAGGCCGGCTGGGGGAAGGGGCTGAGGGTGACTGGCTGGTGGGCCCTGCCCCTGATTGGGGTGGAGGGGATGATTAGAGGTGGGGCTGGCCGATCAGGGGCCAGCGGCCTGGGGGATGGGCCATGGGTGGTTGGCCGGCTGGCCCTGCCCCTTATCGGAGTGGGGGGGCTGATAAGGGGAGGAGCTGACAGGGGGAAGGGCTGCAGGACAATCAGGGTGGTAGGGGCCTATTGGGGGTTAGGGGCTGGAGGAGGTTGGTCAGCTGGCCCCACCCCCTAGTGGGGTAGGCGGGGGCAATTAGGGGTGGGGCCAGCTGGGGGGAGGGTCTGCAGGCCAATCAGGGTGGAGCGGGCCAGGGGGAGGGGCCACGGGAGGTTAGCCAGCCTGCCCCACCCCCCTATCTGGCAGGTTCACTGGCCACAGTGGGAGTCATAGCGACCGATCATTCCAGTTGCTACGGCATTCTGGTTGCTAACTTTTTATATATATAGACTAGGGGCCCAGTGCACAAAATTTGTGCACTGGGGGGGGGGGGCGGTCCCTCAGCCTGGCCTGTGCCCTCTCGCAGTCCGGGAGCCCTTGGGGGATGTCCGACTGATGGCTTAGGCCTGCTTCCCATGGACACCCCTAAGCTGATAGTCGGACATCCTTAGCACTGCTGCGGAGGTGGGAGAGGCTTCTGCCACTGCCGCTGCACTTGCCAGCCATGAGCCCAGCTTCTGGCTGAGTAGTGTTCCCTCTGTGGGAGCGCACTGACCACCAGGGGGCAGCTCCTGCATTGAGCATCTGCCACCTGGTGGTCAGTGTTCATCATAGCGACCGGCCGTTCTGCTATTTGGTCGATTTGCATATTAGCCTTTTATTGTATAGGATAGCAAGGAATCCTTTAAGTTTTTTAAACTGGCTGCACTTTCTCTTTCAGACACTAGAGCAGTGGTTCTCAACCTTCCTAATGCCGTGACCCTTTAATATAGTTCCTCATGTTGTGGTGACCCCCAACCATAAAATTATTTTCGTTGCTACTTCATAACTGTAATTTTGCTACTGTTATGAATCGTAATGTAAATATCTGATATGCAGGATGTATTTTCATTGTTACAAATTGAACATAATTAAAGCATAGTGATTAATCACAAAAACAATATGTAATTATATATCTGTTTTCCGATGGTCTTAGGCGACCCCTGTGAAAAGGTCGTTCGCCCCCCAAAGGGGTCGAAATCCACAGGTTGAGAACCTCTGCACTAGAGGGAAGTGTAAAATCCATTCACGGTATCTTTAAGAGTTCAAGTTATTCATTCATTCACTCACAACACCAAGTATTTATTTCATTCCTATATAGCAGGAACTCTACTAGACCCCAGAGACAGAAGATGAAAACGATGAAGAAGATGATGAAGAAGAAGACGAAGAAGAAGACGACGACAAAGAAGAAGAAGATGACGAAGAAGAAGAAGAAGAAGAAGAAGAAGAAGAAGAAGAAGAAGAAGAAGAAGAAGAAGAAGAAGAAGAAGAAAGAGGAGGAGAGGAGACACACCAGTTAAAAAAAAAAAAAGGCAAACTATAACAAAAAATGCACATGATGCCCTAGCCAGTTTGGCTCAGTGGATAGAGCCTCTGCCTGCGGACTGAAGGGTCCCAGGTTCAATTCCCGCCAAGGGCACATGCCCAGGTTGTGGGCTCGATCCCCAGTAGGGGGCGTGCAGGAAGCAACCAATCAATGATTCTCATCATTGATGTTTCTATCTCTCTCCCTTCCTCTCTGAAATCAATAAAAATAAAAATAAAAAAAAAGAATGCACATGAGAACCAAACCCCAACTTTTGCAAGACTGGGTTTGAAGCAGGACAAGAGAAGCATTTCTGGCAGAGGGAGGAAAAAAATCACATGTGCAAAAAAAAAAAAAATCACATGTGCATACATATAATAATTCACACTAGATAAACCAGCTTATCCAAACTGGCTTATTCTATTGACAAAATTCCCTGACTTAATCTAAATGAAAATAACCTATATCTAACTGTTGTCTATAGAAAATAAAGACATAGGTGTTAATGGGCGGGGAAGATTTTTTAAAATATTTTTCTTGATTTCAGAGAGGAGGGGAGAGGGAGAGAGAGAGAGATAGAAACATGATGAGAGATAGAATCATTGATTGGCTGCCTCCTGCATGGCCCTAATGGGGATCAAGCCTGCAACCCGGGCATGTGCCCTTGGTCGGAATCAAACCTGGGACCCTTCAGTCCGCAGGCCAATGCTCTATCCACTGAGCCAAACTGGCTAGGGCTTGGTGGGGAAGATGTGCTAAAATATATAGTTGGCTAGATTTCAAAATCAATTTTACATAATATTAAAAGTTTGAAGGTAACAGATCAATTGGAGTTAAGACTGCTTACATGATGATAAAAATATCACTTGAAATCAGGATAAATTATGCTACAACCACCTAAAAAGAGTGTGTCAGCCCGGCCAGTGTGGGTCAGCGGTTGAGCATTGACCCAGGAACCAAGAGGTCACAGTTCGATTACAGTCAGGTCACATGCCTGGGGTTGCAGGCTCAATCCCCAGTAGGGGGCGCACAGGAGGCAGCCAATGATGTTTCTCATCAATGTTTCTATCTCTCTACCACTCCCTTCCTCTCTCTCTAAAAACAAAAATCAATAAAAAAATATTTTAAAAAATAAAATAAAAAGAGTGTGTCACGGGTAAATGAATAAATCGAAGTTTCCTAAATGTACTCTGCCTTATACAAATTAAGTTTCCAAGTTAGGAAAGAGAAGTACTCTGATAATTAGCTTTCACTCTTGCCTTTGAAAAGCCTGTATAAAGAGACATGTTGGTTGGCAGATAATTTCCACACCTAAATAATTCAGGCCTACATAGGAAAGACTAAGGGTTTAACTGATAAACCAGAATTAAAGCTCAAAGTCACCATAAGGGCAATGGAAAATCTGTGTGGTGTATTTTTCCCTAATCCTCAAATGATTATTTCATCATTTGCTATGGTTTGGGATGTTTGGATTGTGGGGTTCAGGGGTGGGGAGTTGGCGAGAAGGAACAAGTTGTTAATTTCTCACACTGATGGGTATACATGGTAGAAAAATTAAAAGCCAACATCCTAAAAAAGTTTCAAACACATACAAAATGAGACAGCAAACTTGTGAATCAAGCATGATTTGGCATCTTTAAATACAGAGCCAATTCTCTTCTAGAGCCAAAGCCAATGGCTTCTCCTGTAGATAAAATGGCACAGTTCCTAAAAAAGCCCTGGACGCTGTTTCCCCACAATCCTATAATCTGTCAGAAGACAGAAAACAAAAAGAAGGCTTTGCCAGCCAGAAAAGCAAATTATAACCAATACAGAGCCAACACTTTACTTCAGACAGAAGGAGCTTTTCTATGCATCTTTGGAAGGAGGGAGACAAAAGAAGAAGCTTACCATTGCTCAAACAACCAAGGCAAACATTTTAAACAAATATCACATTGGATAAGCAGTTGATGCAATCACCTGCTTTCTCACTTCTTATTCACAGCCTTAAAGAATCTTTACAACATTTACGAAGAAGAGTTGATAGCCACAAAATACAAAGAGCTTTTACAAGTTGATTTAAAAAAGGATACAACCAAAAAAGGAAATTTCCAAAGGGCATTAATTAGTAGTCATAGAAGAAATACATAAGGTCAAATATTACATATATTCCATAGTTGGGAAGTGGTGGAAAGTACTCCATACAGTCCTAAAGGTATTTTTGACTTGATAGTACTACCAACTGCAAGCTTCCAGAGAAATCTTGGCTACTAATTAATGAATAAAACAAAAATAGATACGGGTACTTAAAAATCATCATGTTGTACACTTTAAATATCTTACTATTTTGCCAGTTAAAATTCAATAAAGTTGGGGGGGGGGGGAGATAAGGGTGCCTAGCATAAACAATACATTCCTAAAAATATTCAGGATATAAGTTTTGTGAAACACCTAATCTGGGAAGAAAACTGTTAAGTAGAATGGATACGAGAAAACTGCAAACCAAATCCAAAGGAACTAAAATCAAAATATGAGTTCAGCCAGCAAATATACTAAAATTGGAAGGATACAAAGAGGATTAGCATGGCCCCTGCACAAGAAGGATGACATGAAATATATATATAAAATGAATCTTTATCTATGAACATAAAACAGCCGAAACTGGTGCACAATGAACATGGCAGATGATGGAAGCAAGTAACATAAAGTTTAAATATACAACCATAGAAATAATGCACCTCCAAAAAAGAAGCTTACTCAACTGTCTTTATTATGGAAGCAGGCCATTCAGGAACCCCTTTATAAGTCACCAAATCAAAATAAAAGCAAATAACGCCTGATGCTGCAAAGCAAGTATAGTCTTCCCATCAAAGAGGAAAAGAAACCTAAGCCTTTTTATTTGTCCTTGATACAAAAAGATAATGGATTGTGAAAGAACTTAAATTCCAGAAAGAAAGTTCAATTCCAACCTATGTAAAGCTAAGAACTCACATTGTTCTAAAATCAGCAATACACAGGTCCCTGTTGAAAATACAATACAGCCCTAGCTGGTTTGGCTCAGTGGATAGAGCGTAGGCCTGCAGACTGAAGGGTCCCAGGTTCGATTCTGGTCAAGGGCACATGGCCAGGTTGTGAGCTTGATCCCTGATGGGGGGCGTGCAGAAGGCAGACGATCAATGGTTCTCTCTCATCATTGATGTTTCTGTCTCTCTGTCTCCCTTCCACTCTGAAATCAATAAAAATATATTTAAAAGGAAAAGAAAAGAAAAAAAAATACAATACAGCCCAGTGGTTGAGTGTTGACTATGAACCAGGAAGTCACAGTTCGATTCCTGGTCAGGACACATGCCGAGGTTGTTAGCTCGATCTGTTTCTATCACTCTCTCCCTCTCCCTTCCTCTCTAAAACCAATAAAAATATTATTTTTAAAAAATAAAGAAAATACAATACATAGATCTCAACTGAGCAAGTTCAAGTTCTGAGCATGTCAGCAGACTACTGTTTACCACTTCAGTTTTTTATCAATTTTATACATCAAAAGAACCACATCCTAATTTTCCTCTATTGTTAATGCCACTTTAGAAGCTGAGAAAAATTTAGTTCATGAGATTCAAATATCAAGCATTTTTTAAGTACACCACATCACCCATTCTATATTTAGACTCAGGTATGGAACAAGAAGTGCTAGCTTTGCTTGTAATGGCACCATGTCCCTCATCAAAGGCTAATTGCAACCATCACCTAGGTGTCTATATGGTGTCGCCTAAAATAAAAGTCCTTTTCAATGCTTTTTTGTAAGTGGTCCTACTGATTGGCTGTGATGCTTTAAATATAGATAATAAATCACCCCACCAGTCCTTTAAACATTCAGCATTATAACTGGCATAATGAACCAAAAGGCCAAGATGGTAAAAACTCTAGTGATTTGAATTCTTCAAAGTGATATTATAAAAAAATCTTTTGGAAGTATTCTCTTTAATTAAAAAATTGTTTTATTATGAATCCATAATTGTTACATTCTAGAAATTAGGATAGCAATATTTTTTCCCAAATCCTGAACTATATTTATAAAAATACATCACCTTTCTCAAAAGGAAGTTAAGGCCTCTAACAAACAGCATGTTGCTAATTTTCACAACATCCCAATAAAGAACTATTACTTAGCATTTATATCACACTTGCCAAAGTGTTTTACAATTATTTTCATTAACAGTCATGCCTCACAACTACTCACTGAGCTAAACTGGTCCTGTTATCCTCATCTGACAGCTGAGAAAACTGATGCATCTATGACAAGATCAAGGTCAAGCCAGTCTGCTTTTCCAAGACCAGGGACCTACCTTTTTTTTTTTTTAAATATTTCTTTTATTGATTTCAGAGAGGAATGGAGAGGGAACGAGAGATAGAAACATCAATGATGAGAGAGAGTCATTGATTGGCTGCCTCCTGCATGCACCCTACTGGGGCAAGCCCGAAACCCAGGCACATGCCCTTGACCAGAATCGAACCTAGGACCTTTCAGTCTGCAGGCTGATGCTCTAGCCACTGAGCCAAACTGGCTAGGGCTGGGACCTAACTCTTAAAAACAATCTCACTCAGCATTGTAAGTATATTGCTCACAGTCCTAGTTAGAGTAGGTTTTTAGAGAACAGGAATCCATCTAAAATGATACAAAAATATTAAAATATTTTAACACTTCAACAAAAATATGTAACTAGCCCTGGCTGGTGTGGCTCAGGTAGTTGGAGCCCTGAAAGGTCGCCAGTTTAATTCCTGGTTGGGGTACATGCCCAGGTTACGTAAAATCAATAAAGACATTTTTATTGATTTCAGGAGAAAGGGAGAGGGACAGAGGGAGAGAGATATAGAAACATCAATGATGAGAATCATCACTTGGCTGCCTCCTACACTCCCCCTACTGGGGATGGAGCCTGCAACCTGGGCATGTGCCCTTGACTAGAATTGATCCCGGAACCCTACAGTCCACAGGCTGACACTCTATCCACTGAGCCCAACCAGCTAGGGCAGTGATGGCGAACCTTTTGAGCTCGGCGTATCAGCGTTTTGAAAAACCCTAACTTAACTCTGGTGCCGTGTCACATATAGAAATTTTTTGATATTTGCAACCATAGTAAAACAAAGATTTATCTTTTTGATATTTATTTTATATATTTAAATGCCATTTAACAAAGAAAAATCAACCAAACAAATGAGTTCACGTGTCACCTCTGACATGCGTGTCATAGGTTCGCCATCACTGAGCTAGGGCAATAAAAATATATATTTTTTTAAAACACAGTATAGCAAGAAAGGAAAGGCCAATGTGAATATGAATATAGTAAACTCTGTAGGTGTGGAAGAAAGAGGTAAAGACAATTTCCACTTCATAGCTTTTGAGAGAAAGGTGGAGGAAAATAAATTAAAGGACTAGAGATCAACTTAAATAATAATCTATCAAGAACAGACAGATATTTAAGTGAGACACAGGAACCTAACCAGACATCCAGACACCCAATAATTCTCTACTAAGAGGAATGATCTTACTTTACTAAATAAAAGTCCTTACTTAGAAATTTGAGACCTAATGGAAAATCAGGGTACTTTTGGGGGTTGGGGGGGGGAAGAGTAGAGACATGATCCAGAAACACTAGCAAATAGTTCAAATTGTCTCTCATGAGAAACCAATAGCAGAGGGAAGCAGATAGATGCCAAGCAGAGGGGGAAATGCTGTTAATCAATACTGCACCTGGTCCAGCTCCCTAAAAGTCACAGCTAATTTTCTCAATGTCTTCCCAAATCTGCAAATCCACACTCACCTGGAAGCTATAATACACAACCTCTAAGAATATTAAGGGTGTCTCCTGCCACAATATTCTGAATGTCCAAGTTTCAGTCCTTTAAGTAATCTCTGGAAGAACAGATAGCTTGGCTAGACTTTGGATGAGATCCACGTACCCTCCAATTAACTTGATAAATCTCACTAGTGAATACTTTTTCATGCACCGAAGTGGAGAACATACCTTTAGGTGACACGGTAGTGTCCTAGGATAGTAAGAGAGTAGGGAAGAAAAGCTAAGTAGCACAATAGTTGGCAATAAGCAAGCTTAACAACTAAAGTATAAAATAACTGGTAAAGTATTCTTTAAGTCTTACAAATCAGAGCACACAACTGTATTTCAAAGTAAAATAAAAAAATTCTAAAGGATCTAAAATTTGCACTCAGAGACTTTTCACTATGTATCTTCTACATTCTTTATAATATCAGCATGGCTCGTGAGTAGCCTTTTGAGTTTGGTTTCTTTCACTTACCATCATGCATATGAGATTCACTTATGTCGTTGCATATATGAATACTTCCTTTGCACCCTTGAATAGTATTCCATTGTATGAATATATCACAGTTGGTTTATCCATTCTAAGTTGAAGGACATTCAGTGTCCAGTTTTTGGTGAGTAAAAATAAAGCTACTGTAAACATTCACATACAGGTTTTTGTGTCATAGGCTGTCCTTTCATTTAAGTAAATACTTAAGAGCATCAGCCCACGCACTGAAGGGTGTGGGGTTCGATTCCTAGTCAAGGGCATTTGCCTGGGTTGGGGGTTTGTTCTCTGCCCCGGTCAGGGTGCATGTGGGAGGCAACTAATTGATGTATCTCTCCCACATCTATGTTTCTCTCTCTCTCTCTACTTTTCTCCCCTACCCTCCCTTCCACTCTCTAAAAAAAAAAATTAATGGGGGAAATATATACATACATATATATATATGTGTATATATATATATATATTTTTTTTTTCCTTCCAAAAAAATAAAACTAAGTTAAAAATTCAAATATTTTAGGAAATCACATTTCTGGAATTCTTTAAAATCTCCTTCTTGCACCCTTAGACTTTTTATTTTTTAATTTTACACAGTAAGATTTATTTTTCAGTGTTTGGTTCTAAGAGTTCTCATAAATGCATAAAGTTGTATAACCAAATCAAGATACAGAGGAGTTTCATCGCCCCCCCCACCCCAAATTTCCTCATGTGCAGTCAAATACTCCACCTATCCTTACTCAGATGTAATCACTGAGTTGTGCTTCACTGTCCCCATAGTTTTATTTTCCAAAATATCACAGCAATTCAATCATACAGTGAGTAGCCTTTTGAATTTGGTTTCTTTCACTTACCATCATGCATTTGAGATTCATTTATGTCATTGCATATATGAATAGCTCCTTTTTATGGCTGAATAGTATTCCATTGTATGAGTATATCACAGTTGGTTATTCTGAGTTGAGGAACATTCAGTTTCCAGTTTTTGGTGAGTACAAATAAAGCTCCTATAAACATTCACACACAGGTTTTTGTGTCATAAGTTGTCCTTTCATTTGGGTAAATACTTGGGTCATATGCTAAGTGTTTGTTTTACTTTATAAGAAACTACCACAATGTTTTCCGAAGTTCCAGTTGCTCCATACACTCGCCAGTCCATAGTCTAGTCCAGCCGTGGGCAAACTACGGCCCACGGGACGGATCCGGCCCGTTTGAAATGAATACAACTAAAAAAAAAAAAAGACCGTACCCTTTTATGTAATGGTGTTTACTGTGAATTTATATTAGTTCACACAAACACTCCATCCATGCTTTTGTTCCGGC